GGGAGTATGAGGTGTGGAATGGAGTGAAGTCCAATCAGCTTCCATATGCAAAAGACCCTGAAGGTTCCATATGCAACTGACATTCCAACTGCCTTGCGGGGAGGGGGGTGAGTTTGAGGTGTGGAATGCAGTGAAGTCCAATCAGCTTCCATATGCAAAAGACCTTGGAACGCTGGGCGGGACTGCACAAAGCAGCCAGTCAACCCAGCCAGTGTCTTCTGAGTGGCAGTTTTTCCGGCCTAACACTAAAGGGGCCAAATTTAGAATGTTCATATAGAATGTTCTTACTCAATTATATATAAGGAGAGATACAGAGTGTGCAACACTGGGATTAACCCTGCGACTGGGGGGAACCTTTAACCACACCCAGAGTGTGAAAACCAATTACAAAGCAAGAGGCAAACCAACAGAGACAAATACAGACATCCAGGTACATATTTAAAGTGATAAAGGGATGGAAAAAAACAGGAACCCGGGTCAGAGCTTGTCTTCCTGTAGAAATTATAACCAGGCATTGTTCCTCACTTTTGTGGTCTTGATTTAGCCTTGACCAAGGAGGGAAACAGGCAGATACAGATACACATAGACAAACGTTCAAAGGGGGGAAATGTGGCAATAAACAAGACACACACTACACATGACAAACCCAGTTAAGTGTGCAAAAAATGAAAGAACACACTTCGGCCAGAGCAGAGGAAGGAGATGTTTAGACAAAAAAACTCAATGTCTCATATTTGCAAAATGCATCCTCACTGGCTAACATGAACTAATAATTTACTTTGTACAGACTCTACTTGACATAGAGAAAACCTAATAGATCGGACAAGACAAAGTAAGAAGTGACAAGACACACACTACATGTGACAAAGCCAGGTAAGTGTACAAAAAAAGGAAAAATTAGGGGATAGTTGGACCAGAGGAGAGGATGCAGTCTACCAAAAAGGAAAAATTAGGTTTTGTCATTCAATAATTTTTTTTAAAAAAGCTTGTTGTATTTCTTCCCACAATGGGCCTTACTCCGAGTAATTAATAATTATTGTATGGTATTGTGTGTAGAATAGCCAGGAGATCATAAGATTGTCTGGCAGCCAGAAGTGCTAGCTCTTTAACGTTATGCACCACTAAGTAGTGAGCTAGACTTATTTTTAAGGCAAGAGATGTTTCAGGGGTGGTTTGCCATTGCCTGCCTCTGTGTCACAACCCCAGTATTCCAAATACTAGCCAAGGTCAACCCTGCTTATCCTTCCAAACTCTGAAGGGATCAGGCTAGCCTGGGTTATCCAGGTAATAATCATGAAATTAAATTAATAATAATGGCCAGAAAAGAAACACAGGCAGTGAAAATTTTCTTTTATTGAATTTCATATATATATACATTCATGCCAATAAAGTAAAATAAATATTACAGTACAAAAAAGGAAAAAAGTAATGGATTAATACTTTTTCATTACATCCATATTAAGAGATATAAGGAAAAGAGTATCCTGATATCCAGTTACCATAATGTTGTTATTTAAGCCCCAGCACCCATGTCTCCATGCCTGGGAATCCTCTAATTTCACATAGTAAGATTTATAAAAGTGCCATACTCTTTAACAACAAGAGATATGGCAAAGATTCTGGACTTACAATGTACCCTATATGAAGCACAGTCTGTTCTCTGCTAAAGCCCCTAATTTAACATGAGAGTACTATGACATCTTGGAGAGGGTAGACAGAAGCAAGGGGGGTTTTCTCACTGTGCTGTTGTGGACAGATGGTTATCAAGGTTCCATTCCAGCTAGAATCATCCCCCTTCTCTGCCCTAATATGCAAAATATTAATTTAGAACTAGTAGCATCCAAACCAGACTAGATAATGGTTCACCTTGAAAATTTATTATGTCTCCAAAAGTTCAAACTTTTTTTTTCTTTTTAGTAATCACTACAGATACATCCAAGCTCCAGACAGTTCCATATATCTGAATCTGCAGTAAAAATGTGTCCAGGACTGGTGGTATGAGGAGGAGTCCATAGAGCATCTTTGCCTTGAGGCTCACCTTGGCAACCACTAACTGTTTTAACCAAGAGCCCTAAACTACCAATACCAAACATTCGTAATATATGCAAGCCTCCACAAATTATGTAGAATCACTTCATATTTGGGGAGAAATTCCCTAAGCCAGATGCAACTGCATCTGTCATCTCAGACCCCAATTGTGTTCCCTGTGCCTTCATGAACATGCCATGGCTGTTCATTATTGACTGTTTATTTTTCTGTCTTATTTAATGGTTTAATATTGATAGCACTGCTGTCATAGCAGTTCTGAGGTGCTGCTGCTGTCCAAGTTGATTTTTTTTTACAGTTTTTGGTTTTAGAATTTTATGTCTCTGCTGGTTATTGGATTTTGGAATTGTTTTATTTATTGTTAAGAGCAATTTTACTATACTATATCCTTCCTGAGCTAACACAGAAATGTGTGAGTCTGAAGCTAAAAAACTGCCTTGCACACATTTTACAGAGAAATGGCCCAGAGATATTTAAAACAAATAAATAACGGGTTCAGTGGTGTTTACTCCCAAATAAGCATGTGTAAGATTACTGCCAATGTTCCCTCAAAGCTGTGGAGTCTTGTGAGCAAAAATTCTACTTTGTGAGCTACTGGCATTAAAGTTGTGAGCAAGCGATTTGGCTACCACATAAATTAGTTTGCTCTGGAGCCATCCTTCCTGAGCTAAGACAAAAATGTGTGAGTCTTAAGCTAAAAAAACAGAGCTAGTTCACACTAACTCAGTTTACTGCTGGGTTCTTTTCACTATAAATCAATGTATTGTTAAATGAAAAAATGAGGCACAAATTACGTTATTAAACACTATCAAATTGTTCCTTAGTCAAGCATACAGCAAAATGAAGCCTCCTTCCTCAAACTTCACTGCTGCCTGTGATTCTCCTTAATGCTTTTTTAACAGTAGTGTCCAAGCCTCTGCTAAATGCCTTCTTTGAATTGGGTCCACACTAAATTTTCCAGTGGCAGAATGGGACATTCTTACCTTGCTCCTCCACTGCAGCCTGCTGATCTCTGCAGAGGTAAAAGATTACCAGCTTTTCCTGGGCTTGGGGGGGGGGGGAGCAGTTCCATAGGAGGTGGCTGCAGAAATGGGGCTTTGTGGTGTGGTGTGCGTTTGCCTTGACTAGCTTGTCGGCAGCTGAGCTTTAAGGGTGCTGCACGCTGTGGGTGGAGATGAAGCCGGCACTCACTGCATTCATCCAGCATCAAGGGCAGCCGAGCAGCTCCTCTGAAGCAAGCAGGAAGTTTGTGTGCAAAGAAGGGATGGATGTGATGCTTATTGCCTGCCCTGCACCTGGGGCAGACCACCACTACAACCCCGCCCTGAGTACACCTCTGCTCAGAGGTCTACAAATTGCAGATCAGGTGGTTGGTAATCATGTTTCCACCCATGTGGAAGCCATATGAAACAGCTTTAGTATGGGTCCTGGTTCACTTTATGGAGAAAAATTGTAGCTTGGCTTTCCATACGGATCACCTGGAGTTTCCTTGACATTACCTAGCAGCCACTGGTAGAGACTCTCTGCAGCCAGTCAACATGGTAAGCTGTTCTATCACACTGACCACCCAGCAGCCATTTCAACCACCCTCCATATGGATGCTGTACTTTGGGAAGGAGCTGAGGCTCAGTGGTAAAGCATCTGCTTTGCATGCAGAAGGTCCCAAGTTTAATCCATGGCCTCCCCAGTGAGAAGGATCAGGTGACAGATGATGTTAAAGAAACCTGGAGAGCCACTGCCAATCAGATAAGGTAATACTTTCCAGGATAGACCAATGGTTTGACTCAGTAGAAGGAAGTGTCATATGCATATGCATATGCATATGCATATGCGGTGGCTCAAGTGGTGGCTCAAGCCTGAACTGCAGGCTGTGGAAGGTCAGTAGTTCAGCAGTTCGAGACCCGGGTGCCACAAGACGGAGTGAGCTCCCATCTCTAGTTCCAGCTCCTGCCAACCTAGCAGTTCGAAAGCAAGAAATTGCAAGTAGATAAATAGGTACCACTTCAGTGGGAAGGTAACAGCGTTCCGTGCACCTTGGTGTTTAGTCATGCCGGCCACATGATCACGGAAACGTCTTCGGACAGCGCGGGCTCTTCGGCTTTGAAACAGAGATGAGCACCGCAACCCTAAAGCCAGATTCGACTGGCTTTTGAGCAAGGGAACCTTTACCTTTACAGGACATAATATGGTGGGTAGCAGAGCACAGGAAGCATTCTTAATGAGTCCAGTCCCCAGCCTGAGAAACCAAAACAGGCTTAACCTGCAAAATGTTAAAAAAGAGAAAAGAATCACAGGTTTTACAACACAAAGTGCTGTATTTTGAAAATGACTTTGTATGCTTGATGAATCAGAAACATTGCTGATCCTTGTACTTGGGCCAGGATAAGTCCTTGAAGGCAGCACAGCAGATGGTAGTAATGAGGGTTTCCAGCCTTGCCATGGTAACCCATCCCTTGCTAACATTAAAGTTTCTACCCTACGTTTTGCTGATGAAGCAGTTCTCCTATCAAGAACAACATCAGGACAGTCCTCCCTGATAGAGGATTTTGTCGCTTACTGTTTGGAAGAATGCCTGATAGTTAACTATCAAAAATCCAAGATTGGTCCCGGTCACACGGGCCAGAAAATGCCGGGGAGAAGTGTGGCTGTTTACCCTGGAGCAAAGTAACGCGCGGCAGCCCGATCACATGTCCCATCGAGGTCCCGTGGTTAGGCCATTAGGTGCTGGTCACACGGCTATCCTGCAGCGCGGCAAAGAAGCAGCGTGGCAAAGAAGCAGCGCGGCGCGATCACACCGGCAATCGCTAGGCAAACGGTAATTTTTTTTCACACTGGAGTTTGCACATGCGCATGATCGTTTGTGCGCATCCTGTGGAGACTTACCAAAAAAACCATCCGGTGTGCAACGGGACATGGACGGGCACCCGATGCCATGGGATTCAAGTGGAAACACTATCAGACACCCGCCCTTGCCCCATGTTTTCCAGAAACTAGTACATCATATATGGTAGTTTTTTACTCCGCATCTTCGGCGAGAAGCCACGGGTGTACTACGCTTCCCAGATGTTGCGGTGTGATCGTGCACCAAAAATCCGCCTATCATCTGTGTCTTTAGCGTGACAACTTCTCCGTGTGAACGGGACCATTGTTTTTTGGGGGAAATCTCATGTACCCTACAAGTGGAAAATTTATGTTAAAGATATTGAGGAGGTCCCCCATTTTAAATATTTAGGGGTCTGGTTTGACCAGAGATTAACTTGGTCAGTGCAAGCTGCTCATGTTAAAAGATTGGCTGCAGTGGCATAAAATATCATCTGTCATTTCTTTTATTCATCTGGGGCTCCATATATCCCAGCTGCCATCAAACTGTTTAACACCAAAGTGACTGTGCAAAGTTTATATGGGGCTGGTATCTGGGGACTCCTTTGATTCAATTCTTCTTAAATTCCTACATTCCATCTGCAGAATTCCAAACTGTGTAGCAGGGGTGGTCCTCCGAGTTGAATTGGGTTGGGACAACCATCTCTTGAAGCTCAGGCCTGGATGAAGGCTTTTTCTCTTAAAGTTAAAATTATACACTCAGACATCCAAGGGGGCTACCTTGGCTTAGTCAGAGAGGACTCTTATGTTTTCCACTAAGATAAACTTGTTGAGCAATTACTACAGTTCCTCAGTCTTTCCTTGGATTCCTTTTATGCAGTTAGGTAAAGGTAAAGGTTCCCTTGCTCGAAAGCCAGTCGAATCCGACTCTAGGGTTGCGGTGCTCATCTCCGTTACAAAGCCGAAGAGCCAGCGCTGTCCGAAGACGTTTCCGTGGTCATGTGGCCGGCATGACTAAACACCAAGGAGCACGGAACGCTGTTACCTTCCCACCGAAGTGGTCCCTATTTATCTACTTGCAATTTCTTGCTTTCGAACTGCTAGGTTGGCAGGAGTTTAAGCATAAGAATGATTAAGAAACCTCTATTTAAGTAGAGCACAACATCTTTGTTCTACTCGATTTGTTGGTATCCTTCCACCTGGTGAGCTCCCTGATTATTGCTCATATTTGACTGTTCCTCACTATAGGCATTCCTTTATGTTGGTGCACCTTAATGCCCTACCAACTAGAGTTTTGCAAGGGAGGTATCTTAAGATACCAGTACTCTGATAGAGTATGTAACTGTGGTGCAAGTGGTGTAGACACCCTGTATCACGTGACCTTTGAATGCAATCATTTTTCTGAGCCTAAAATCTTATAATTTTCCTGTACTCCAAAATATAGATCATATACAGACATCTCTTTTATTAGAAGAGAGTAGCAGACCTATCACTGTTTTAGCTATGAAGTATTATACATCTGTGATAGACTTTCACAGCTGTTCAAATGGGGTCTAGCTTTTTCTATATTTTAGTAATCTGCTTAAAACTAATCAGTTAAGAAGTGGTATGAGGTGGTGGTGGTAGCAGTAGTAGAAGAAGAGATTGGATTTAAACCCCACCTTTCACTACCCAAAGGAGTCTCAGAGTGACTTACAATCTCATTTCCTTTCCCCTTCCCACAACAGACACCCTGTGAGGTAGGTGGGGCTGAGAGAGCTGTGACAGGAACTGCTCTTTTTCAAGAACAGCTGTGCCAGAACTATGGCTTGCCCAAGGTCATCCAGCAGGTGCAAGTGGAGGAGTGAGGAATCAAACCTGGTTCTCCCAGATTAGAGTCTGTGCACTTAACCACTACACCAAACTGGCTAGTAGTAGTAGTAGGTTTACTATCTGGATGGTCCTTAAAAGACACTGTTGGGGATTCCTGCTTGGCCTCATGGGTATTGGCCTCATGGGTGTTGGCATATGGTAACGTTCCACTTTACTCCACATGCTATTTAATATCTATATGAAGCTACTGAGAGAGGTCATGAGGAGGTATGGGCTGCAGTGTCACCAATATGTGGATGATACCCAGCTCTACATTTCTTTTCCACCTAATTCCGAGGATGCTACTGACATTCTGAACTGATGCTTGGAATCAGTACTGGGCTGGATGAGGGCGAACAAGCTGAAACTTAATCCTGACAACACAGAGGTCCTCTGGGTTAGTAGAAAGGCAGACCAGGGACTTCAGATCTCTCCTGTTGTAGGTGGGGTTATACTCACCTTGAAAATCCAGCTAGGGAGTGCTGCTTGACACTGCAGTTACCTTAGAAAACCAGGTGGCTGCAGTGACTCAGAGTGCTTTTGTCTGGCTTCGGCTGTTGTGTCAGCTGCACCTGTTCCTTGTTCAGTCAGATCTAGGGACAGTGAGCCATGCCTTAGTTACATCTAGACTGGACTGTAGCAAAATACTCGGGGCTACCCCTGAAGACAGTTTGGAAGCTACAGCTAGTGCAGAATGCTGCAGCTAGATTCCTGTTCAGAGCCAAGTACTGGGAGCATGTGACCCCAATGATACAGTAATTACATTGGCTACCAATCTGCTTCCAAGCTCAATTCAAGGTGTTGGTTTTGTCCTTTAAGCCCTACATGGGTTGGGAACAGGGTATCTGAAGGACCATCTTCTCCCATATGTTCCTGCCCAGGAATTTCTTTCTCTTATTTCATTTTCAGTTCCTTCAACCATAGGAATTAATATCATAGGAAGAGGCCATCCTGACTGTCCCACCAATCAAAGAAGCTCATCTAGTGGGCACACAAGAGAGGCCCTTTTTAGTGGTAGCCCCACAATTTTGAAACTATCTTTCCAAGGAGGCATGCATGGTCCCCTCACTGTTGATCTTCAGGAGCCAATTGAAGACAGTTTTATTTAGGACTTTATTTGACTAATTTAGTTTTTATTTATTAGCAATCCTAACTGGATAATTTAAATTGTTGTCTTTTATGTATTTTTAATAATTGTTTGTTTGTTTGTTTTCTAAGCCTCCTTGATTTCTGCAAGGTTGAAAGGCAACTAATAAATGTTTTGAATAAATAAATGTCATGTCACAGTGTCCAAGACACTCCAGGAATTTCCCCAATCTCTGAGTTAAAGACCATAGAGATTTGGGGAGGTTCACAGATGTGACATCACCCACCCCCCATTCTTTTCCTCCCACTGCTCTACCAAGGGAACACAGGGGGTGCAGAATGGGGGTGGGAAGTCTATTTTTAATAAATAATTAATGTACCATTCTCATGCTCCTGCCATATTGATAGAGCAATGGGAAGCCACCATCCAGAAGCACGTACATTTTCAGAATCTTCTTGTTCTGATAACTATCAACAGACAATTCCTTTCCTTGACCAAAGTTTTTCTATGCATTGATTTTCTTTCATTATCTGAAGCTTCTATCCTACACATACTTATTTGGCAGTAAAGAGGCAAAGGATCCAGCTGTATGACCTGATGGTTCTTAAATTCCTTCTGTCTTCTTCCTCTAAGTCTGCTGATATGATAGACCCTGAAAGCACTCAGTGATTAAGTCAAACCCAAAGCCCCAGGAAGTAAATAGTTCAAGGAAACCAATTTTATCATAACTACTACTCCAGATGAGAGTAAACTGGCTGAATTTCCTGGTCGCTTGCCTGAAGTTTTATCTTCCCTGCAATCACCTCCTTTAAACCCTTGATAACAATGGCAGGTGAATTTTTCTGACATGATTTGAAGGTCTGAGTGTGAAGCTTTCCCTCTCACAGTAAATCCCTGATCTTCTGAGGCTTTGATTTGAAAGCTGTTGGGATTTAAATGAAGGTAATCCAAAGATTTCCAGTTTCTTCGTACACATCGCCCATTATTCTGACACAGATGCCTGCTGCACACCTCCACAGCTCTGGTTACATTGATGATGTAGAAACCCAACTCAGAAGCAATGAATTGTTTCACCTTTGTACAGCTGACCTTTCAAAGAGAAGATACAATAAAATATTCCATTGTGTGAAACCACACCATACATGAAGGACCATCTCTGTTCATATTGTCCAGCCAGCCTGTTAAGACCTCTTCTCAAACCCGGCCTGTCTCTGCCCCCACCTGCAGAGGATGGTGAACAGAGACAGGGCTTTCTCAGTGGTGGCACCTTATCTTTGGAATGCCCTTGGTATGCTTCTTTTCTTTGTTTTCATTCATTTAGAATATTTATATGCCACCTTTCCACTCAAACAAGATCTCTACCAGGCATGAAGGCCAAACATTTCTTTCCCTCCAGAGCTTTTAACTGAGAAGTTCCATCTTTTAAAGTTATTTTTATGGGCTACTCCTAGCCAGAGGACTGCTTTTACCTATATAATTGTTCTGTTTGTTTTATGTGCTTTTATGCCCTGACTTGTTTTTATTTTATTTGGTGGTATAATTTGTATGTATTGGCTTGGTCTTCCTTTTATTGTGATCCACATCAAGCAGGCAAGGGTGTAGGACTTTCCAATTTCCTGGGGGGGGGGCTGGGCCAGAGGCATTGCTGTGCTAGGAGCAAGGGTGGCTCCCGGGGGATGCTGAGCACCTTCCTGAAAATTTCGGCGGGGGCTGAAGCCCCGCCGCCCCCACGAAGATTATGCCTATGCAAGCAGGCAAATGTTCTAAATAAATAAATAAAACAATAGCAAATGCCATCTATATAACTGCTAATAAAATGTTCCTGCCTGTGTATATAGAACATTTAGGATCTATCCCACACAGGCCCTTTCCTGGTTTTTCTTGTGGCTTGAAGCAAAGTAGAAGATATCCTGAGGAGAGCTGCTATGGTGCCACACCTGTGGAACTCGTCCCCAGGAGGTTTCAAATCCTCAATCTCTCATGGAAGCTCACTGGGTGACCTTGGCCCAGTCACACACACTCTACCTAACCGAGCGCACAGGGTTGTTGGGTGGGTAAAATGGAGTAGAGCTGCATTGGGTCCCCATTGCTGGAGTAAATAAATAAGTTCCTGGCATTTTCTTGATTGGCGCTTACCTACCAGTGAAAGGCTTTTTTGTGTGTCCAGCTGTGAATCCCTTTGCTTTTCTCTGCTGCATTGATTTGTATGTGGGGGGTGTTGCTGTTATTTACATATTGTGCCTCAGAAATTTTAGTTTGCTGTGAATTAATTGTTGCTGAGATTTTTAAAAATTGATGATAAGAGTCAAAGTTTTTTAGAAAAATCAAGTGTAAATTATTGGGATTATGAAATAAAGAAAGTAGAACAATCAAATGGCTTTAGGGTTGTGTTATACCAAAGGGAATGCAGTAAAATAATTTCAGTTTTTTAAAATTTCAGGGGATTCATTGAAATCTATGTTACCAATGTTCTATGTTCTTCAAATCTATGTTACCAATAGGCTAATTTTATGGAAAGAAGGGTGGTGCTGCTGCTGTATTGTGATTGTGGCAGGGACATCTTGTTACACAAAGCTGAAAAAAAGCCGCAACATCTACAATTCCTTAAAATGATGTCTTGTTTTGGGTTACTGGGTCAAAGAAAACTGTAGTGATTTGACGGAGGCAACTCTAGTTTTTATTGATCTTAAGTCAGCTTTTGATTTAATTTCAAGGGAACTTCTCAGACTGAAGCTAGCAAAATCTGCACTGGAAGATACTTGCACCTGATTAGGTGTCTTTACTCAAATACATCTGTTCAAGTTTCCTGCTGTAATAAAAGGCACCTCACACTGGAACATGCAATGTCAGCTGTACAAAAGCAGTCAGTTCCTCCTTGTTGTTGTTCAGTTGCACAGTTGAGTCCGACTCTTCACGACCCCATGGACCACATCACTCCAGGCCCTCCTGTCTTCTGCTGTCCTCCAGAGTTTGCTTAACTTCACATTCATTGCATCAATAACACTGTTTAACCATCTCATCCTTTGCCATCCCCTTCTTCTTTTAACTTCAATCTTTCCCAGCATCAGTGTCTTCTCCAGTGAATACTCCCTTCTCATTTGGTGGCCAAAGTATCTGAGCTACTGCTTCAGTATCTGGCCTTCCAGGGAACAGTCAGGGTTGATTTATTTTAGGATTGATTGATTGCCTTCCGGCTATTGACTTAGTTTATCATCTGTTCATCTAGGTGCCTGTTCATCTAGCTCCTCCAGGGGGCAGCAAATGTACTAACTAGTACTGCTCTACTGAATGCTGTTTCCTTGTTTTATGCCTCAGGCTTGCTTTCTAAGGTCTTCTCCAGCTCTCCCCTTCCAAACAGTCATGTAGCTAAAAGCAAAGCTGGCAAATAGGTGGAGAAAAAATATCCTGTCTCTTTACTAGAAGCTTAATGGGATCTTATGTACCAGCTGGTGTTATTTCCCTCCATGACATGAACAGCTTCAGCTGCCCATTTCCATTCATTGAGGCTCAATTAAAGGGACAGGACATTTTTGTCAAGGTCTGTTGGCAATGTTAGCTAAAAGCTCAACAATTCACTTAAGCTGTCCTGTAACGTAACTCCTAAATAACTGTTTTCTGTTGTCTTTCCCTGGGTGCTCCTTCCAGCTAGGGCTGTCAACAAAGCTGGAGAAAAATGCCCTGCTCTTTTAATCAAGTGACTTTAGCTGCTAGGTCTGTTTTTCATTTTGTTTCTTTTTCAAAGCAGGGAGGAAGTATGGCTTTGCTGGGATAGGCTTCTAAGGACAATATTGATGCATATATTTCACAGTAGCTAGCATTATGCTCTAGTCAGTTAGATATGGGAAGGAAACCAATGTCTTGCAGTAGGTAAATCCTTGAAATTTAAGGACATGTGAGGAAGTATCTAAATCTTTTCAGGAATAGGCACCTAGATGAACAGATGATAAACTAAGCCAATAGCAGGAGGAAGGCAATATAAACAAATCAGATAGTTGCACATATAAGAGCAGGCAAACAAAGTGACAAAGAGTAAAAGCTGAAGTGGTGAATGAGATGGGAAGCAGTCAAAGCGAACAAGATACAATGCTGAAAGTGTGTCTTGAATGTAGAGAGAAATCATATAGACAGGAGGAAAGTTACATGGGGCAAGGGTAAGTAAAGCCAATTCGGGAGCAAAGGAATAGTCTGTGGAGGCTATTTGGTCTTGCAAAGTAGTGGTGATTAACAGTGTGAGAATTTCATTATTCTAAATCAACTGAAGTCAATGGGCGTAGGAGTGTATAACTGCTTTGGAGGCACTGTAAAGGGTGGAGCTCTTGACAAAAAGAAGTAGATTTGTGATTGCAAGGTTCTGGTAGATTAGAAGAGTATAATTTAGGCCTACCTCCTCTCTATTGCCTGGTTTTTTTGGGGGGGGGGTTGTTGTTTTGATTTTTGGTCAATCTCATAAATATTGAAATTCTAGGAATAAGAGGTAGGGGGCAATCATAAACAGAACTATGTAAAATCTACCTCATGTTATTTAATTGGACTTAATTCCAGGAATTGTGAAATGCTGGCCTGGATGAATCACAAGCCAGAATTAAGATTGCCGGGGAAACCATCAACAACCTCAGATATGCAGATGATACCACTCTAATGGCAGAAAGTGAAGAGGACCTCAAGAGCCTCTTGTTGAGGATTAAAGAGGAGAGTGCAAAAGTTGGCTTGAAACTCAACATAAAAAAAACTAAGATCATGGCATCTGAATCCATTACTCCTTGGCAAATAGAAGGGGAAATCATAGAAGCAGTGACAGAATTCACGTTCCTGGGATCCAAGATTACTGCAGACGGTGACTAAGCCATGAAATTAAAAGACACCTGCTCCTTGGGAGGAAAGCTATGGCAAACCTAGACAGCATAATAAAAAGTAGCGACATCACCCTGCCAACCAAAGTCCATATGGTCAAAGCAATGGTATTCCCAGTAGTAATGTATGGCTGTGAGAGTTGGACTATAAGGAAGGCAGAGCACTGAAGAATAGATGCTTTTGAATTATGGTGCTCGACTCTTGAGAGTCCCTTGAACTGGACTCTTGATAGTCCCTTGGACTGCAAGGAGATCAAATCAGTCAATCCTAAAAGAAATCAATCCTGACTGTTCCCTGGAAGGCCAGGCACTGAAGTGGTATGGAGAAGGGAGCACTCACTGGAGAAGACCCTGATGCTGGGAAAGATTGAAGGTAAAAGAAGAAAGGGATGGCAAAGGATGAGATGGTTAGACAGTGTTATTAATGCAACGAACATAAAATTAAGCAAACTCCAGAGGATGGTGGAAGACAGGAGGACCTGGAGTGATGTGGTCCATGGGGTCACAAAGAGTCGGACTTGACTATGCAACTGAACAACAAAATTCCAGGAAAATATGTTTAGAAAGGCAGCCAAAAGAGCCTACCACTTAGAAGGCAGTTTCTCCTCCACCTTTCCTCCATAAGGGCAATCTTAGCAGTTCTCTGACAGCTGTGGTCAAAGCTACACAGCAGACTTATATTCCATTCTTGTCAGTTGTGGCTTCAGGTCTGATTCTTATAACTTCCTGAGGATGCTGATAGTTCTTTCGGAAGGTTTTTGCTCTTCACAGAGAGGTACAATTCAGAAGAGAACTACTAGTAAATGAAGCCATTTATGGTGTGTAAATACCAAGGTGAGCAACAACAATCTTGGCCTCAAGAAGACAACATGTTCAGGTTCATCTGACTTCATACTGACCTAACTGGGCACAGTGATCTAAATCTTCCAGAGACAATGGTCTGACTTCCCTTGACCCTGTTCCCCTCCCCACACAGGCAGCATCACACAGGCCGTGAACAAACCATATATGTTGTGATCTTATTAGACTACATGAGAATGAATTAAACTGCAAGTAAAAATGTAAAGAAATCAAAATGGAAGAGCATATAATATAAATTCTGTCTAGTTTCTTGAATAATGTCCTCATCCTTACCTCCGATGAAGTTAAATTCATGTCTCCCCAAATAACGATCCCTGCTGCTCCCAGTGCAGCACTTTCTCCAATAGTACTAACAAGATCTTGCTATAAGGAAAATAGAAAAGAACATTATTCCTCTATTATGAACCTTTTGCCACATATTCCACTAAGGAGGAAAATAGCTAGCCAAGAACTTGGAGGGCCAAGTATGTTAGGAGGGACCGATCCTGAGGGAACTAGGCTAGCATCTCAATGATAATTTTCTTGATAATAAGGGACAATGCTGTGTTCTATTTACATTTTAGTGCATTTATCCTCTATATGATCTAGCATTTGGATTAGAACCGGGGGTGGTGGTGGACATGTTCTGCCCCAGATAGATGTGAAGGAAAATGTGTCCCTTTAATAGAGGCTTCATGTGTGGAAATGAGCAGTTGAAGCTTTACATGGCTTCATCATCACCTGGTAGACAGGTTCCCAACAAAGTCTCTATTAAAAGGACAGGACATTTTTTTCTCTCCATGCAGTTGGCAACCTTAGTTGTGTATATGTTCTTATTAATCCTCAAAGGAAAAAAATAGCCTGCATGTCCTGTTGTTTCTTTTTATGTAGCTATAACATGGGGAATGGTGGTTTTAACCACGTTAGCTGCCTTGGTGCCCCTGGCACAGCTCTAGCATGGATGATACCAGCATTTTTCAAAATTCTGGAAGTCACAAATAAGGTTGCCACCTAGCCAGGAAAAGACCTCCTGTCCCTTTAATAGAAGTCTGTTATGTAGAAATAGGTAATTGAAGACTTTTTCAGAAAAATGTAACACTCAAATTGTGTGTCCCCCACACCTCATGGCCTTGTGAATAGACCAGTCCAAAACTTGTTATATGGTGCTGAAACCAGGGATTTAAGTACAGTGAAAATGTCTTTCTGATTTGTTCCCAAGGGGAAACTGCATTAAAAATAGATAGGACTGTAGTAGCCTCTTAAAGACTAACACAATTTTTTTCTTCAAGTAAGCTTTCAGGGACTAGAGCTCATTTCTTCAGATGCAGTGAATGTATGCATTCACTTTATGTAAAGTGAGTGCTCTTCTTTCGTAACATTCTTTATGGAGTGCAGTGTTAGCACATGTTCATGGCAGCAACTAAAAGTCAGCTCAAATAAATTACTGTGCATACCCCAGTCTATTTTCTTTCATGAATGCACTAAAAATGGTGGAAAATGTTAATCAGTGGCTTGAATGCAACCATCCTGTACATGGAAAGCACACAGTTTCCCCACAATTCTTTCTGTGCCTACAGGTCCTTCTGACCCTAAGCCGAGAACCATCATTCCTGAAAACATGGGACTGCTGCAGAGGAAGAGCCATGCAACCCAGAAGGGAGGAACAAGGGTATGAAAATACCCACTACCCTCAGCTCAAGCACACTTTCAGAAAAGGGAGGAGGAACTCCACCCCTTTGCCTTCCTCACTCCATCCTTACCCCAACCCACATGGTTTCCATGAAACTAGGAATGGCCTCAGGAGGGGTTGGGAGGGATTGAGGAAGAGAGAAACATGGCAATGCTCCATATTCCATGCATGGATGGTTGCATACAGGTAAATATTTAGCATTTATGTTTTTTCCTGAGTGTTCAAAATCTATGTAGACATTTTGTGAGTTATTCTCACAGTGGCCCTGTAAGACAAGTCTAGAAGACAGCAAACTGCCCAAACCAATAAGGTTGCCAACCTCCAGGTGATGGCTGGAGATCTCCTGCTATTATAACTGATATCCTGGCAACAGATCAGTTCTCCTGAAGCAAATGGCCCATTTGGAAGATGGGCTCTATGGCATTATAACCCATTGAAGTCCCTCCCCTCCCCTCCCCAGACCCCACTCCCCACACCCAAATCTCCAGGAATTTCCCAACCCAGAGGTAGCAACCCTATGTAAATCAACCTGATGAGTTCTTGGCTGAGGTGCAATTTGAACTGATGTCTTCCTGAGCATACCTTGTTGCAGTACACCAACTCTAAAGCAACCCACAATGGCTTACCTCTGAAAGAAATAATAAAGGCTCATCTTTATAGCCCAGTCTGGTATATACAAATACTGGGAGAGCATAATCATGGGATGTCATGGAGGCAATCCTCATAGACTCATGCACCCTAAACTGTGAAAAACGCAGAATATTTTCACTATTGCCAAGGGATTTCTTCACGCCAATGGAAGGGTACAGAGCAGCACTGCTGTTCCAGAGCCATGAGAGTTCATTATTCCTCAAAACCTCACTCTCTGGACAGGAACCAGTATAGTTCTGGTCATAGAAATTATAATTGTGGCAGTCAGGGTACAGGTAGTACCCCCATAGGCCCTTAGGCCTCTTTCTAATCCCGAGCTCAATGGTCTCCTTCATGAAAGCCTTAGCACTTTGCTCAAAGGAAAGTTTTGCCAAATATTCAACGGTGTTCGCAGAAACATTCACTTGCATTTCAGAAATTAGTTTTCTGGACTGTCGCCGGTAAATATCTTTTCTGCTCCAGTTGCGATCCCATTGCGGCCTCCAGTGTTCCCAGTCGATGACGGCTAATCCAGTGAAATCTTTATCAGGAATGTAGTAGTTGATGTCACGGCTGGCTTTCTCCAGATGGGCTTGCAAGCTGAAATTCTGAGGTAGGCCACCATTAACAGGGACATCCTGGGGAGTGTACCAAGGATAATATCCCAGCCTGTTGACATAAAAGATAGTCACATTCTGTCTTCTTGCTCTGGCAAATGGACTTCCAATCACATGGAACACTCTGAGGTCAATGGTAACATTATATCTCATGGAACAATGATCGGTTGGTGCATTCCAGGCAGCTATAAAAGGCTTCCTTTGCAACACGGGTAGCTGAGTGGGCCTCAAGGCAGAAGTCCAGATAAATGAAATCTGTAACCAGGCTGAAAGGTGGATCTGCTGGGTAACAGATAACAATATTTCAGTTTTTAATAGGACCATGTGAAAAGCTCGCTTTCTCTCTCTCTCTTTCACGCACCATAATTTTTCTACATCTTCAAAAAAAATAAGTATTTCTGTTACAAATATGCTTATGTAAGACTGGTGTGGTGTTGTGGTCAGAGTATAAAATCTAGGAATCCCATGGTCAGTCCTCCCTCTCTGCCATGGAAGCAGCCTGACTTACTTTGTGTGGTGGTATGAGGGTAAGATCATGGGAAATGATCTTGTAAGCCATTTGGATCTGCACTGAGGAGAAAAGCAGGGTATAAATAACTAAATAAATAAGACAATGTACAATGTATCTCCAGCTGCATGAAGCTCCCCAAAATAATTTTGACTTCAATTATAAACTAAATAAAATCTTTAATTTTATAAAGAAAATATATCTCTAGTCCTCATTGTTATGAAAATATATTTGGAAACATAATGGAGACTGAAAAAGCTCTAACAATAAGGCTATTAAGGTTTACGTTTGCAAGCTGCAAACCAAATTATAATTATTATATTATTATTATATTTCCACAATTTAACTGCCAAGTTTGATTCACAATTTTGACATGCTGTCCTCAAAATTTCAGTTTTCTGATCAGTCCTTTAACTTTTTCTGGATTTTCCCTTTGGTAACATAGCCTCTTTTGAAACAACCTAACTCAAAATATGTGTAGGCACTCTCATTCACCACTGAGTGTCACCAGGAGTCTGGTTTATGCTCATTTAAAAGTAAAACAAAGGGCTATTTAAGGTAAATTACAGAGAGTGTTATGACTTAGATGAATGGCTTTGTGTTAATTTCGGTTTTTACTTAGCAAACATATCCCAATTTGGCATGGGAATGCCGTTATTTAAATATACATGGTTTGAAATGCTCGATTTTTTAAACAGAAAACAACAATTTTCAGAACTACCATAGTAGTTAGAGACGATTACCTATGTTGTAGTGTGAGGATGGAGAGCTACAATCAAGCAATAACATCAGCTGAGCTATAAATAGATTAAGTTCCAACTGTAAAGGTAAGTCAGCCTCACAATGAAGTGACCTAAGCACAATGAGAAATCCAGCATTTTGAAATGATGAAGACATTGCAATGTGGAATCTGATTCATCTGGGCAATAACTTGGAAAAGTCACTCAGGATAATTCGGGGGAGGGGTGTTCGAAGAAAGGTTGACTTTATCTTAGACTATTTGTGCAAGCTCTCAGTTCCCTTTGTCCAGTTCCATGATTTTGATCACAAATGGCCACTTGTATATCATAAACTGTAGCTGCTGCTCTGGAAGTTAACAACCCTGAAAAGAAATGGATTCTGCTATGATAGAATGGGGGTTCTTAAGACCTTCTGGACCAGGAAGTAGGAAAAATGGGGGCTGCCTGAAAGAATGCCTCCAGCATCTGGCCTACAAAAATCTCTTATACCTATTTCCTTCAAAACATTCCTATTCCTTCCTCAAAATGATGCTGTTTCTTAACTATCAGTCATTAGGTGTTAACACAATAGAATGATTAGCAATTTCGCCCTGTTAGACTGAAACTTAATTTTTTCATCATCTCATTTAAAGAGGCGACATGAACTAGGAACATTCAGCATAACTGCTATGTCATGAGGTTCTTTTACTGTTGTCTCCCGGAACATCATTGCGTGCATGAGGCTCCTAGAATCCTTATGCATTATTCACTGTTGGAAATAATGCAATAGGCTGGAAAACTGGATGGGTTACATTTGTCTTAGCCTTCACATTTCATGCTAATGCTAAGGGGGGGAAATGGCAAGTCATCTTTTGAAAAGAATCTCCTGGCATTGAAAAAAGAAATACCATGCAAGTCTGCTGGGTTTGGGGGAAAGTACTAATCATTCCAGGATGTGTGCAGGGGAAGTTTCCAGCAGTGTGACCCTAAGCAGAGTTATGCCCTTCAAAGCTTGTTGACTTCAGTGGACTTAGAAGGGTATAAGTGTGCTTAGAATTGGACTTTGGATGTCTCAAAAGTTTGGGGGGGGGTCACTGCTTGTGTTGAAGTGGAGCAAATCAGGAGCAACTTCCTAAAAAAAGGTTGCTGGCATTATCCAGTGCATATGATGGAAATAAGAAATAGCATGGGTGTCAAATATTCTAATTTTTGGTACTGCATAAAGTACAGGAGGGCGTCAGTAATGTCTAGGAGGGAGTTCCCACAAAGATATAAGCTGCAGGCAAATGAAGTTAGGAAGGATTTTTCTAAGGCAAACAGTTGACTGTGGCTTATAGGGAATTCAAATAATAGTAGGAAGGCAGGAGAATGAAAAATCATTTGCTAGGTGATGAGACTGCTATGGATGTTTGGAGAGGAATGTCCTGCATCAAAGCTGTGGAGACATTCCATGGAATAATTAAAAGAAAAACAAGCAATCCACAGTTAGAAATATTGGGATATTTGGTTAATATTGCAGAGTTTGGCCAGTCATGTAGGTGTAATGTTGAGTGCAATAAATAAATCTCCCAAGAAGTATATTACAAAAAGTAAAACTTACATTTATTCAAGCTTATTCAGTTCACATTCAGGTTACAGCTGAAAGGAAAGAGAGAAGCCTTATCTAAAGAGTACTTTCCCTATCATAAGTTGCCAGCAGATCTGGCATCATGTGTATGGAAGTGTGAGAGCATTCTTTCTACAGGAGACGCCTGTAGAGACACGTGACTTCGTGAAAAGCCATGTGAAGACTGGGAAGAATAAACGACTCAGTGAGAGAGGAGGGGTCAAAGGGCAGCTCCCTGGTTAAGACAAAAAGAGGCATCCCATTCAAGGAGATAACACCTATACACACAGAGAGTGATGCAGCCCCCCCCCCATGTCCAGGCATGCTGAGTTGTTAACTCCAACATAAGTAGCTGTGTTCATCTGCAGTAGAAGAGCAAGATTCAAATCCAGTAACGTGTTACAAGTCCAACAAGATTACCAGGGTACAAGCTTTCAATGCCAGCAGGGGGGTTGGGGGTTATCCAGTGTATTTCACTGACTGTAACATGTATAACTATCTTCCTGGTGGACATGGATGTGTGCTTGGTACAAGGAGCTCCTGAGTCTCAGGGAACAAATTCACTCTTTTGAGGCCGAGGCAGCTGACCTGGAGAGGCAGAGAGCCAGGCACACAGATAAGTCTCTCAAGGACTTATTAGATGTGTCCCACTCTGAGAATGGCAGCTTCACTGCTGTCAAGGAGCATGAGGGTCATGGGGAAACAAGGCACCGTGCTGAAGAAAGGGGAAATGTTCCTGTAACGATTCCATATTTTACTGTGTGTGTGTGTGTTTAAAAGTTTGGTTGGCATGGCTGTGTGAGGATAATCTAGAGTGCTGGACTCAAGCAAGTGATATGATTGGTGAGTGACAGAGAGGGGGAGGGGGTTTGGAATGGATGCTGTGTGGATGATTGGAATGTCTATCTGGTGTGTCTGTTAGGTATGACAGTTGATTAAGACAGTTAGTCTGAAGAGAGTGCTGTGTAAAAGCAGTTGCTATGAGTTAAGTTCTGTCTCGGAGTTGAAGGAGACTCATCCCTGTGAGGGAAAGATTGGGTTCTGTGTAGTAAAAGAGTTAAGCAGTTTGTTCGTTTTAAGGTCTGAGAGAGAGAAGTCTTGTGTGTGTTATGAAAAGTTAAAGCATAAAGAAACAGTAACCATATATGGCCTAAGGAAAATATTGTTACAAAGTGACATGCCCTGATCCCTGTCAATAAGAGGGAAGAGTGTGTGAACATCAAATAAATCTACTTTTATTTAAGACACAAGTTCTGAACGAAATTCTTCCCAGGAAACACATAGTCCTTCGAAAGCCCAGACCCTGCGTTACAATACCAAAACCAGTAGGAAAAATATTATAGAAAAAGGTTGGGAAAGCCTAAATTTCCCTGGTGGCAGCCAGATTACCCTGAGAGCAAACCTAAAGAACACTTTTAAAGGGATACCAGACCTCCCCAAATAAGGGGTCGTCACAGTTCCCTTAGAAGGGACTCCTTCTACAGTTGGTGAACAGGTATCCTTTCAAATCAAGGAACCATCCCTGGGCAGGGAGGGAAGGGGGCTCTTGACAGCTGATGATTCAATTTTTGGGCATGTAGACAGATGGATTGCAAACCCATGTACTGACTGCATGGTGACTTGCTTGCCTGGTGTGAAGGTAGAGGATATTATGCATGGTCTAGATAGGTTGGTAGACAGTGCTGGGGAGATGCCATTGCTGTGGTACATGCTGGCACCAATGATGTGGTAAAATTTAGTTGCTTGGGCCTGGAGGAAAAATTTAGACTACTAGGCAGGAGACTCAAGGCCAGGACCTCCAAGGTAGCCTTCTCAGAAGAGCTACCTGTTCCAAGTGCAGGGCCAGCAAGACACACATTAGGACTCTCAATGTGTGGGTGACATGATGGTGTAGGGAGGAAGGGTTTAAGTTTGTTAGGTATTGGGATGCTTTTTGGAACAAGCAAGATCTGTACAAAAGAGACAGCCTCCACTTGTCCCAAGAAGGAACCAGGCTGCTGGTGCTTAAAATCAAAAAGGTAGCAGAGTGACGTTTAAACTAAATGTTGGGGGAAAGCCAACACTGGGTTCGCTCATCTCTAAGAGATGTAGGGGTAGCTGTTACTGTTCTAGAAGGAAGTAGATTAGGACTGGCTACTGAGAGGGCGGGGTAAAAATGCCTAAATAAATATTGACTGCGTGGCAAGGTCTAGAGGAGAACACAGACATCGTGGGCTTTTCAGAAACTTGGTGGGATGAGGATAATCAATGGGATACAGTAATTCGTGGATATAAATTATATAGGGAGGGAAAGGTCAGAGGTGGAGTGTCTCTATGTCAGAGAGAGTATACAGTCCAGTAAAATTCAGAATCTAACAAAAAGAGATTTGCTTACAGAACACTACAAGTGGAAATAGCAGGCCCAAAAGGAAGCTTAACCCTGGGAGTTTATTGCCCACCAGATTGAACGTTAGAGGATGATTTAAAAACAACAAAAGAATTAAGGAAAGCA